TTCGACACTAGCTCCCTCTCCTCATAGCACAGCACAGAAACAGCCTTGGTCAAAGTGACAAATGAAATTTTTAGCCATCTGTGACCTCTGTCTCTTCATCCGCCTCTCCGCTGCCTTCAACACTTGACCATTCTATCCTCCTCCACCGCCTCCCCTATCAGCTCAATCTCCATGGTCCTGTCCTTGACTTGTTCCAATCTTACCTTTTGCACCATCTCTACCTTGTCTTCACAAACGGCTTCTCCTCCAGCCCCACACCATCTTATATGGCATTCCTCAGGACTTTGTCCTTGGCCCACTCCTCTTCAACACCTACATGCTCCCTCTTGGTGACATCATCCATGACATGGGGTCAACTTCCACATGTATGCAGATGATACCCAACTCTCCATGCGTCCACCCTTGAATCCAGGACCATTGCTGTCCTGACAGTGTAATCTGTTGGACATAAAGTCTTGGATGAGAGCTAACTTTCTCCAGTTGAATGTCAACAAGACCGAGATTCTCCTGATTGGCTCCCATCAGCGCTGCCACACCACAGACACTAACAGCATCACCGTCCATGGCTCCACCTCACTGAGCTAGTCAGGAATTTTGGCGGCTTGTTTGACACTCAACTGTCCTTTCTATCCCCACATCTGTGCCATGACCTGCTGTGCCTTCCCCCATCTTTGATGTGGTCCAGCCAGATCTGCTCGAGACCTTCATCCAAACATTCATGATATCTTGGCTCAGCAACGGCAACTCCCTGGTTGTCGGCCTTCGCTTCCCAACTCTACCCTCCACAACCTGCAGATCATTCAGATTTCTGCAGCTCATGTCTTCTCCCGCACCAGGCAGGCTCTGTTACCCTATCACCTCCACTCTTGCCTGGCTCTACTATCCACCAGAGGATAGATTTCAATATCCTCATCCTCGCCTTCAAAGCACTCCGTGATCTTGCTCCTCCCTACGTCTGTGAACTGCTAAAAATGTAACTTTGTGTTGTATTGTATGTACTCAACATCGACCTGTACGTCCCCCGCCCAACCCACCATTGTTACATAATAAGTTACATAAAGGACTGGGAGAGACGAACAGCAACACAATAAAGAGTAGAGCAGAAAAAGGAGGGATTATGATAAATGTCAGGTCCAAAATACAGAAGATAGAATAGAAGGCAAGAACAATATATCGTAGTGATTTGAGACGTCCTCCTGCTGTGAAGCGTTTTGGGACGTCCTCCCAACATGAAAGGTGCTCTATAAGTGCAATTTTGTTGTTGTTGAAAGTTGCTATGTAAGTTTTATTATAATTGGAATGTCTCTCATCTCACCTTTCCAAATATCCAACCCTCCTCCAATCAACCTCAACCATCCAACCTGGCATTCTCATCCAGTTATTAATTGTTCTCTGGATGAAGATATCTGTGCTGAATTGTCGATTACAACTCTAAAGCTGTGTCCTCTCTTGTTCTACTGTCTTTTCGCATCCTAAAGTATTGATCTGAGTTTACTTTTACTTTTTCAATCCCATTTAAACATTTGTATATCTCTATAAGATCCCTCTGAGTTGTCTTTCCCCAATACTGAAGATCACAGTTTGTCCAATTGTTGCTCACAGCTCAATACTGGGTATCTTCCTGGTTGCTCTTCCCTGCACTGTCTGTGGCTGAGCAACTCACTGACCAGATGTACACAATGCTCCTGGTGCAGCCTGACCAGAGCATCGACCAGATCAGTACGTGGACATTGTTGCTGTGTTACCCTTCAAGTGCCTCACTACCAAACAGCTACCCTGGTAAAGAAGCCCATATATGGGTTCAGCCTTGTGTTATTTGTCCCAGTAATGGATGAAGCTGTAGACGGCAAGCTAATCTTGGTGGAGGATTTCTCTGGGTGAAAGCCTCTACGTTAATGTAACACAAACCTTATCCACTAGTTCTGGAATCTTAGCAGAAAGAGAAAGCATTCCTGGGTTTCCCATTACGTTCTGGAGAATATCTGACACCAGCACCCGTTAATCGACTTTACTTGTTTCAAGACACTATCCCAAGTGAAGGGCACTATGGTAGGTTATTATTTATTCCCGTTATTGCCCAGATGGGCAGGAGGTGGAGTGTATGTGGGGATAGGGGGAGTCGGAGGGAAATCTTTGTCCTCACTGACCCCTCCCTCTGGGTGTACCTGCCTAATTCCTCTTCTAAATGCTCTCAATCGACTGCTCTAACAGCCTCCTCTGACAAACAATCATTCTCCTAAAATCCATCACTTCACATTTTCAATAATCAACTCCATTTCCCACAAATCTGCTCAGTCAACAACAACAACAAGTGGCATTTATATCGCGCCCATCACGGAGGATATGATTCCCAGAGCACTTAGCAGTCAGTAGCATTCTCACTTCTGAATCAGGAGATTGTGGGTTCAAGCCCCATATTGGGACTTTGAGTGACAGTCTCGGTTGATGATCCAGTGAAGTGTTGGAGATGCCATTCTTTTGATGTTTCTTTTGATCTTCTGGGTGACATATGCTTAAATCTGTCACCACAGTGCCAGGAACTCAGCACAAAACGTGTGAGAGCATTGGCATCACAGCTCAGACAACACACATCTCTTCCCATTGAGTGATGGTTTCACCAGTTGATGTTGTGGAGTTTGATCAGCAGCTGTTCACCTGTCAAGAAAAAAACAATAATGAATTGGTCACTTCAATCCATGACTGTTTGTGGGACACTGCTGTGCGCAATTGGCTGCTATTTTGCCCACAAATATACAGTCAATTTACTTTACAGTCTATTCTGTGAAGCGCTTTGAGATGTTGAGAAGATGTGAAAAGTGCTATATCAAATGCAAGGATTATTATTATTACCATCATCGTTATCATCATTATCATTATTATTATTATTACCTCTCTGCAAACCAATTAAGCTGGATTCCAAACTCTGGATGTACAGACATGTGTTCACAAGCTCGGATTCCAGATAATGCCTTCCAGCCGCTGTCACCTTGAGCCTTAGAGTTTACTCATCAGCTTGCTGACAGACATTTGTCAAAGCGCTCTGAGATGCCGTCCGGTGTGGAGGGCGCTATATAAATCCAAGTTGTTGTTGTTGTATCTGCCTTCAGCGTGGTGCCAGCTACCCTGATATTTTCGAGGTCCAAGTTCAATACCAGGTTTACTCTGCACCAGATACATAATCAAGGTCCTCATGTGAGGGCCCTTGGCAAATAGATGTGCCACTGGGAAGCCACCTCCAGGGTGTTCGGGACAGGTGAGTGCAGGCCAGAGCCCTCCCTGCAGTCACTTCCCATGTTTGCCACAAACCCACCTCACTGCTTGATTCTGGGCTTGGCGAATGTGTTGGAGGAAGCAGCTCCTCTGCAACCCAAGAACTCAGCTCCACAAAGGAGGACAGTTTGCACACAGGTCTTGTTTGCCACAAGTCTGATGTGCATTAGCACCTTGCTGTCCTTGAAGAGCACGATCAGATTACCCTTCACCCCTTCTCAGCATGATCCTTCAGGACAGTGTCCAGGCTGAAGTTGGTGTTCACTGTCTTTTAGATGCTCAGTGTTCACTGAAAACCAAAGTGTAACTCTGACTTGCTGGCACAGGCAAGAATTCTCCACGCTGTTTCTGATTGAGCAATGACAGCTTTCACTTTAGCTTTCACTCACTCTGACTGTTGTACGTTGATGTATGTTCTTGTGTGAACCTCACAATCATGTTCAAATCCCTTCACTCCCTGGCCCCTCCCTCCCTACCTCTCTGACATCCTCACTCCCCAGTCCACCACCCGGCACCTCCGCTCGACCGGCACCGGCTCCTGCTCGTCCCTCATACCCCACCATCGGAGGTCGCGCTTTCAGCCCCTACACTGCGAAACTCTAGAATGCTCTCCCTCAATCCCCACGCCTCTCCCTTCTTTCAAGTCCTACCGGAGAAACTTCCACTTCGACTGTGCTTACAACCACCTCTGTCCCCCTCACCCCCGGCTTGGAGTCAGGCTCCGCCACTATTAAGCGCTCTCAGACGCTGCCCTGCATGGAGGGCGCTATATACGTGAAAGTTGTTGTTGTGTGTTGATGTGTTGATGTGTGTTGTTGTATGTTGATATATGTTGATGTGTGTTGATGCTGTGCTCATTGCTATGTCTATGATGTCAGCTAATCTGACCCCGAGTCCAGTGTTTGTATTCAATATATGATATAAGACATGGGCTCAACTTTGGAAAATTCTTAAATTCAGTCTTAAACTTTTTCGGATTAGAGAATAACCCAGCGGCAAAGTAAAGATTGAATTTAAACGTTTTCAGAAACAATGCTCACCTCTGCCACTACCTCTCCCCTCAGGCTGCTGAGAATCTAATCTACACATTCATCACGTCCAGGCTTAACTACACCAACTTTTCCCTTCACAAGCTGCAAACTATCCAGAACTCTGCAGCTTGTGTACTCTCCCACCCCAGGCTCCACAACCTTATCACCCCCACCCTCACCTGTCTCCACTGGCTCCCCATCCCCCAGAGAATAGAAATCAAATCCTGGTCATAACCTTTAAATCCCTCCATGGTCGGTGTCTCACTGACCTCTATGATCTCCTCAAACTGTCTCAACCCACCTGCTTCCTCTGCTCGGCAGGCACTGGCCTGTTTCATGTCCCCTGCCTAGTTGGGCTTTCTATCTGCCCCCACTCTCCGGAAATGTTTGTTTGCCTCTCCTCTTTCAAGGTCTGTTTCAAGACTTTCCTCTTTGACCACAATTTTGGCCATCTTCCTCCTTTCACACACACTTGGCCCAAGACCTCGGGCCATCCTCCCAACGTGAAAGGTACTACAGTGTAGAAATGTAAATGTGATTTGTATTGTTATCAGCACTGTCTGTGGTGTGCACCATAATCAGTGAGCACATTCCCCAATCTTCCAGCCAGTGTCTGTCTCTCAACCATATGGACCCAGGTTTGACCCTCGAGTGGAGTCTGTGTGCTTCACACACTGTAACAAACGCTCTGTATATTTTCCATAGAAACTGATTTATTAAAAGCAAACAGAACAACTTATATTCATAGAACATGTGAGACAATGTATATAGGTATAAAGAGAGGCTGACTAAATTGGGCTCTTTCCATTGGTGCAGAGAAGATATTTGATGGCCGAGTTGGTGAAGGTGACAGCAGTCCTGGTTTTGCTGTGAGTTATATCTGTCAATCACGGGATCCCTCCTAAGAGTTATTCTTTGCCATTCCATCTTCTTCATTCAGGCTGTTTCTACCATCCGTTCTACACAGATATCTGCTTAATGTTGCAAATTACGATTGGTTATGTGAAACAATTGACTTTATTGCAAGGCTGGATGCTGCCATCTTCTCTCCTCCCTGTCAGTCCTCGCTCAGTTTCTGATGTGAAATGCAAACCATCATGGGGATAGAAGGAAACGGGGTTAGAGTAGAGAGCTCCAGTGAGGGAGCGAGCCCCAGCACAGACACGATGGGGAGAGAGAGAGTAGGGAATGAGGTTAGAGTAGAGAGCTCCAGTGAGGGAGCGAGCCCCAGCACAGACACGATGGGGAGAGAGAGAGTAGGGAATGAGGTTAGAGTAGAGAGCTCCAGTGAGGGAGCGAGCCCCAGCACAGACACGATGGGGAGAGAGAGAGTAGGGAATGAGGTTAGAGTAGAGAGCTCCAGTGGGGGAGTGAGCCCCAGCACAGAGTCGATGGGGAGAGAGAGAGCAGGGAATGAGGTTAGAGTAGAGAGCTCCAGTGAGGGAGCGAGCCCCAGCACAGACATGATGGGGAGAGAGAGAGCAGGGAATGAGGTTAGAGTAGAGAGCTCCAGTGAGGGAGCGAGCCCCAGCACAGACATGATGGGGAGAGAGAGAGCAGGGAATGAGGTTAAAGTAGAGAGCTCCAGTGAGGGAGCGAGCCCCAGCACAGACACTATGGGGAGAGAGAGAGCAGGGAATGGGGTTGTGGTTTCTCTTGTTTCTGGAACCTGACTTCAGACAATATAATTTGAAGAGAATCCGAAAGCATTCCCCCCCAGCTGACGCTCCCCATGTCCTAAACATCCTCACCTGTTCTGCTCCACAAACTGACTTGGGAGCTGCAGAGAAGCCAATGTAATGTTTGCTAACTGCTGAATGTTACCAAACACAAGACACTGAATCATAGAATATTACAGCTCAGAAGGAGGCCATTCAGCCCATCGTGCCTGTGGAGGCTCGTTGGAAGAGCTGCCCAATCAGTCCCCTCCCCCGCTCTTTTCCCACATCCTTAGAATTTTTTTCCTTTTCAAGTACCTTCCAATTCCGTTTGAAAGTTGTCATTGAATCTGCTTCCATCACCCTTTCAGGCCGTGCATTCCAGACCATAAGCTTTGGCTTGTTTTTAAATTTTAGTGTCAAATTATTTTCTAATTTTCTTTTCCCTCCTCTCCCTGGCCCCCTCTCCTCTCCTCTCCCTGGCCCCCTCTCCTCTCCTCTCCCTGGCCCCCTCTCTCCCTGGAATATTGGCAGGTCCATCAGGGCATCACAGCTGAGCCTGACCTCTCCCCACCCAGCTGTCACATACACATACACAACCAGTGCTGTAGAAGGACAAGCGGTAGGAAGCCTCCCTCGCCCACTAGCCCAGAGCAGACCAAGGCCAATATAACCAATCAATCACCAGCATTGAGCCTGGGATCAGAGCTGCAGCTCTCTCTGTCCTGCTCCATTTCTTTTAACATTTCTTTTTCAAGAATCTTTCTAAATTACACTTAAATAATTGATTTTCTCTGATGTTCCCCAATGATGGTCGCAGAGAAACCCCATTCCACCACCTGAACCTCTGATTCTAACCTCTCCTTACATTTTTCTGTTATGATGTTAAATTTGTGCCTCTCATTATTGACTTAATAATAATCTATTTACACTGTCAACCCCCCATCACCATATTCAGCTGTAACCCAGTTACTGAAACCAAGTCATTGAGTTGCTCCCATTCACCTACAGAGTCACTGAGTTTCTTGCTTCTGGTTCTAGTTTCTTTTTGCCACTTTCTGGACTTTTTCAGGAACATTTGCAGCCATTTCTCCTCTGGGTCGACACAAACAATTCGAGATTTTTTCAACGTTAGACTAAAAGAGAGAAGGAATGATTAGCAGCGTGGATCCACTGTGGGAGAAAATCACTGGACATGATACTGAGTGTGAGAGGCACTGTGTGCGACAGTCTGTGTCTGTGTTAGTATGTGTGACAGTGTTTGTGTGTGTGAGACAGTGAGAGTGTGTGTGTGTGACAGTGTGTGTGAGACAGTGTGTGTGTCACAGTGAGTGTGTGAGACAGTGTGTGTGTGGGTGACAGTGTGTGTGTGAGACAGTGAGTGTGTGTGTGTGTGACAGTGAGTGTGTGTGTGTCACAGTGTGTGTGTCACAGTGAGTGTGTGTGTGAGACAGCGTGTGTGTGTCACTGAGTGTGGGTGACAGTGTGTGACAGTGAGTGTGACAGCGAGTTTGTGTGACAGTGTATGTGTGTGTGTGACAGTGTATGTGTGTGTGTGTGTGTGTGAGTGTGTATGACAATGAGTGTGTGTGACAAAGTGTGTGTGAGAGTGATTTTGTGTGACGGTGTATGTGTGTGTGAAAGTATGTGCGTGTGTATAAAGTGTGTGTGTGACAGAGTTTGTGTGACAGTGTATGTGTGTGTGTGACAGTGTATGTATGTGTTTGTGTGTGTGTGTGACAGTATGTGTGTGTGTCACAGTGAATGTGTGTGTGACAGTGTGTGTGTGTGTGTCACTGAGTGTGTGTGACTGTGTGTGTGAGTGTATGTGTGTGTGTCAGTATGTGTGCGTGTCACAGTGAGTGTGTGTGTGACTGTGTGTGTGTGTCACAGTGAGTATGTGTGTCACAGTGAGTGAGTGTGTGACAGTGTGTGTGTGTGAGTGACAGTGTGTGTGTGTGTGTGTGAGACAGTGAGTGTGTGTGTCACAGTGAGTGTGTGTGTCACAGTATGTGTGTCTCAGTGAGTGTGTGTGTCACAGTGTGTGTGACAGTGTGTGTGTGTGTGTGTGTGACAGTGAGTGTGTGTCACAGTGTGTGTGTCACAGTGAGTGTGTCACAGTGTGTGTGTGTGTGTCACAGTGTGTGTGTGTGTGTGTGTGTGTGTGACAGTGAGTGTGTATGTCACAGTGAGTGTGTGTGTTGCAGTGAGTGTGTGTGTCACAGTGAGTGTGTGTGTGACAGTGTGTGTGTGTGTGAGTGACAGTGTGTGTCACAGTGAGTGTGTGTGTCACAGTGTGTGTGTGTCACAGTGAGTGTGTGTGTGTCACAGTGTGTGTGTGTGACAGTGAGTGTGTGTGACAGTGAGTGTGTGTGTGACAGTGTGTGTGTGTCAGTGAGTGTGTGTATGTCACAGTGTGTGTGTGTGACAGTGAGTGTGTGTGACAGTGAGTGTGTGTGTGACAGTGTACTCACACTATGGCGGGGAGGTTGCAGCCGCCGCCTGTTCCCTGCACTCGGTGATGGATTATTTTGCGACTGAGTTTCTTGGGGTGTTTGACCACATTGTAGGACAGACAGCAATCCTCATAGGACATGGCTACAGGGCACAGGGGCACAGTGATGAGAAACCATTACATACCCCCTCTCCCCCACACACCCTCACAGCCCCCCGACACGCCCCCCACAGCCCTCCCACACACCCCCACAGTACCCCATTCTATAACAGACACAGGACCATTTCCATGTGTTGATAACATCCATATGTGAATCTCAGTCTGGTTTGCGTTTGTCAAATAAAGCAATGGATCATGAGACAAGTTCCTGGGTTGAAGGAGTTGGAGGCTGTGATTATTGAGACCAGAGCAGATTAAAGGGTGATGTGATTGAGGTATTTAAATTAATGGAAGGAATTGACCGGATAGATAGTGGACGATTCCTCCCCTTCTTTGAGGGATCATTACATGGAGCAGAGCCTCACACTCAGAACCAGGAAGGTTGGAACTGAGGTCAGAAAGCATTTCATGATGCAAATGATGTACAAAATTCTGTCCCAGAAACCTGCACAGGTTCAATAGAGATGGTAAAAGCACAGATAGACAGAGACTTGCGTAGTAGAGGTGTTAAGTGGTGTAGGGAAAGGTTAGGACTAAAAGCTCTAATACAATCATATAACTGGTGGAACAGTGGAGTCGTGGAGTCCTGTACCTCAGTGGTTAGAGCACTCGCTTTGCAAGTGAGAGACCTGAGTTCAATTCCAGGCAGAGGGCGAAACCTTGGGCAAGTTTCCTTACTCCACACAGAGCCTAATAATAATCCCTCCAAAAAAACCAAAAACAATAATAAATTGGTCATTTTCAATCTACGACTGTTTGTGGGACATTGCTGTGCGCAATTGGCTGCCGCGTTCGCCCACAAATATACAGTCAACTCACTTTACAGTGTGTTCTGTGAAGCGCTTTGGGACGTCCTCCCGACGTGAAAAGCGCTATATCAAATGCAAGGATTATTATTATATTATTATTATTATTATTATTTTCCTATTTTCCAATGTTCCACACATACAGATTTTGAAGGTTGTGAGAGAGATACCAAGGCTTTTGGAAGCATTCCATTTTTCTTTCAGATACAAACGATTAGTCAACATTGCTTGAGCTGAAAATGCAGCAGCAATCATCTCTCATAGACCCCACAAGACTCACCCTGACCAGAGATGGCACAGAAAGAGGCCGTCATCAGAAGGAAGACGAGCAGCTGGAATCTCATCCTGCCTTCAGAGCTGATCTCAAACAGCTGGAGGGAGAAAAATCATGTGAAATGATCTGGTCTTGAAACAGAGCACACACACAAAGGATAGTTACCAAAGGAGCAAACACCGGCACAGCCACAGGGGACAAAATGGTCAACTTCTGTTGCTTTATATATTCCATTCCAATGGCAGAAACAGTCTTCCGTAATTAAGAATTTTCCCAATTCTGTACAATTTAATTTGAGGTCCTCAAATACGGCTGTTTAAGAAGAGTGGGAGAGAAAAATTGGGGAACTGTAGACCAATTAGCCTAACATCGGTGGTAGGGAAAGTTCTAGAGTCTATAATTAGGGAGGTAGAAAGCAATTAGAAATTCCTAATATGATTAGGCAGAGTCAACACGCATTTATGAAAGGGAAATCATGTTTAACAAACCTTTTAAGAGTTTTTTGATGATGTAACTAGCAGGTTAGATTGGGGGGAACCAGTGGATATAGTGCACTTAGAATTTTAGAAGGCATTTGACAAGGTGCCACATAAAAGGTTGTTACATAAGATTAGGGCTCATGGAATTAAGGGTAATATATTAGCATGGATCGAAGAATGGTTAACAGGCAGAAAACAGAGAGTAGGGATAAACAGATCCTTCTCAGATTGGCAGGTTGTGATTAGTGGAGTGCCACAAGGATCAGTGCTTGGGCCTCAACTGTTTACAGTCTACATCCATGGCTTAGATGAGGAAATAGAGATTAATCTAAATTCGTGGACAATACAAAGCTCGGTGCGAAGGTAAGCTGTGAGGAGGACATAAGGAGGATGCAAAGGGATATAGCAGGTTAAGTTAGTGGCCAAGAAGGTGGCAGATGGAGTATAATGTGGGAAAGTGAAGTTATTCACCTAGGTAGAAAAATAGAAAAGCGGATTATTTTCTAGAGACAGAGAGACTAGATAAGGTTAGTGTTCAGAGAGATTTACGTGTCTTTGTACAACAACCACAGAAAGTTAGTAATCAGGTACAGCAAGCAATTAGAAAGGCTAATAGCATGTCATCACTCCCACTTTGAAAAAACCTTCCCTTGATGCGTCGCAGCTATCAAGCTATCGGCCCATCTCCAACCTCCCCTTCCTGTCCAAGGTCCTTGAAAGAGATGTCGCCTCCCAGCTGCGCTCTTTCCTCTCCAACCATCCATTATTCGAACCCCTTATCGGGTTTCCGTGCTGCCCATAGCACAGAAACCGCCCTGGTCAAGGTCACCAATGACATCTTGACCATCTGCGACCAGGGCTCCCTCTGCCTCCTCGTCCTCCTCGACCTATCGGCAGCATTCGATACATTCGACCACTCTATCCTCTTCCACCGCTTGTCCTCCCACCTCAACCTTCAAGGCCCTATCCTTGAGTGGTTTAGGTCGTACCACTCCCACCATCTTCATTTTGTTTCCACAAACAGCTTTTCCTCCACCCCCCGCATTGTCTCGTGCGGTGTCCCTCAGGGCTCTGTCCTCGGTCCCCTCTTCACCCTCTATATGCTTCCCCTGTGGTGACATCATCCGTAGACATGGGGTTAACTTCCACACGTATGCGAATGACACCCAACTCTACCTTTCCTCCTCTACCCTCAACTCCACGACCCCCGATGTCCTGACAGCTGCCTGTCCGACATCGAGTCCTGGACGAGAGACAACTTTCTTCAGCTCAATGTGCACAAAACTGAGGCCCTCCTGATTGGCTCATGTCAGCGCCTCCGCACCTCAGGCGCTGACAGCATCAGCATCCAAGGCTGCACTCTCCACCTCTCAAAGCCATCAGGAACCTCGGTGTTCTGTTCGACCCTGAGCTGTCCTTTCTCCCTCATATCCGCGCCACAACTGGCACCGCCTTCCATCACCTCCGGAATATCGCCAGACTACGGCACTACCTCACCGCTCACGCGGCTGAAACCCTGGTCCACGCCTTTATCACCTCAAGGCTGGACTATGGGAACTCTCTCCTCGTCAGCCTTCCCGGCCCTCCCTCCACACTGCAGGTCATTCAGAACTCTGCAGCTCGTGTACTGTCCCTCACCAGGCTTTGCGACCACATCACTCCCACCCTCGCTCGCCTCCACTGGCTCCCCATCCCCCAGAGGATCAAATTCAAGATCCTCATCCTCACCTACAAGGCCATTCACGGCCTCGCTCCCTCCTACCTATCTGACCTACTATCCCCCTACTTACCCGCCTGTACCCTTCATTCCTCTGGCTCAGGACTGCTCCACATTCCCCGCCCCAACCGCCCTACCATCGGTGGCCGGGCCTTCAGCCTCTCAGCCCCGAGGCTCTGGAAGTGCCTTCGCCGCTTCCTCCCTTTCCTCCTTCAAGGCCGGTCTCAACACCTTTCTCTTTGACTTCAACTCCCCTCTCAACTCTCTACCCCCTCCTCGCCCCCTCCCTTCCCTCCCCTCACTCTGACCATTTCTCCCCTGTTCGGGTCCTGACCCAACTGTCCAGCACCTTGGGACGTCCTCCCAACGTGAGAGGCACTCTATAAATGGAATCTTGTTGTTGTTGTTGTTAGCATTCATTGCAAAGGGGTTAGAGTACAAGAGTCTACATCAATGTCTTAGATGACGAAATAGAGATTAATCTAAATTTGTGGACAATACAAAGCTCGGTGGGAAAGTAAGCTGTGAGGAGGACACAAAGAGGGAAGTCTTACTGCAATTGTATAGGGCATTGGTGAGACCGCATCTGGAATATTGTGTGCAGTTTTGGTCTCCGTATCTAAGAAAGGATATAATCGCCTTGGAGGGGGTGCCGCTTAGGTTCACTCGGTTGGTTCCTGGGATGAAGGGGTTGACCTATGAGGAGAGGTTGAGTCATCTAGGCCTATATTCTCTAGAATATAGAAGAATTAGAGGAGATCTTATAGAAACCTATAAGATTCTTAAGGGTCTTGACAGGGTAGATAGTGAGACTGTTTCCCCTGGTTGGAGAATCTAAAACTAGGGGTTGTAGTCTCAGGATTAAAGGTCAGCCCTTTAGAACTGAGCTGAGAAAATGTTTCTTCACTCAGAGGGTAGTGAGTTTGTAGGATTCTCTACCCCAGAGGCTGTGGATGCTCAGTGAGTCCTTGAACATATTCAAGACTGAGGTTGATAGATTTTTAAAAACTGAAGGGATTAAGGGATACAGGGATAAATGGAATTAGGTTAGAAGATCAGAGGGGGAGAGACTAGATAGTGTTAGTATTCAGAGGGATTTAGGTGTCCTTGTACACCAACCATGATCTTATTAAATGGCGGGACAGGCTCCAGGGGCTGAATGGCCTGCTCCTGCTCCTATTTCTTATGTTCAAAGTCAAGAGTGTGGATTTTCAGGCTGTCCTAGACTGAAGCAGAGAGCGGACAGTTGTGGTGGGTTGGGGGGGAGCTCATGCTTAAGAGTATCCAAACCAAACTGAGAAATTCCTACATGTAGAAATTCCAGAGACATTTGTTGGAATGCAATGCGCACTCTCTCCCTGGAGGGACACATTCTGCTTGCCGAATTCCAGAGAGTATTAAGCGGAGGTTGGCAAGAGCCAAAGCTTGGGGACCCCAGTGTGTATGCTGGGGTAACTGCTAGAGTCTAACCAGCTAAAACCACACAGCTTACCATGTCTAGCAAGTAGGTACAACATTACTGGTTTGGGCTTATAGGGTTAACAGGAGTTGAGTGGGACAACTCCCTGCCCTCAATGACTGGTCTGAGCAGCCTTGCTTTACCTCCTCTTTCAAGAGGCTTGGACTCACTGAGTCCACTGTCAACCCTTACATGAATCATGATGAAACTGAAAGCTATGGGAATACATGGATAAAACCCAAGATTTGGCCGTGTATTCCCATGGCTTCCAGTTTCATCAGAAGTTCAGATTACACATCTCTGCAGCAGGCACAAGGTTTCTCAACTCTCCCCTCATGAGATAACTGCAGCTTTGACCGGTTAAAGGTCTCTGGGGAGTTCCTCTGAACACAGATGGAAGATAGGGAATGTGACTGCTGACAGAGGAATATTGGCAACACTGGCTGGTGCTGAAAATGTAGGATTGTGTAAAATTAGTAGACAAACATGAGACGTTCTGGAGCTGCACCCAGCGACGTTGTATAGTCTGAGACAGAGTATTACCAGGCAGATAGAGTGAGAAGGTAAACACTGCAAAAACATACATTCACGAAGCCTGCACACACACACACACACGTACAGACATTCCACACATAACAACAACAACAACAAAATTACATTTGTATAGCGCCTTTTTCATGTCAGGAGAACATCTCAAGATGCTGGACAGACAGAGTTTCGGACCCGAGCTGGGGGTCAGGATCAGGGAGTGTGGAGGGCAGGGGGGAAGCAGGGAGATCGAAAGCACGGTCTTGAGATGGGTTTTGAAGTAGGCAATGCAGCGGCGAGGCAGAGGGACTGCGGGATGGAGTTCCAGAGGGTGGGGGCAGAGTGGCAGAAGGCCTGCCCGCCAAGGAAGCAGACCAGAGTCAGCTTCGCATACACAGATAGATATGCACAACACTCGCGCACACATACGACATATATGCTCACAGAGGGTCACTTGCACATACTCAAACACATAGTCACAGATACATACACCCACAGATCACACATATCAACTCACACAATCACACTCATTCATACACTCATACTCACACACATGCACACACAGATTGGCACTCACACAAACACTCAGACAAACACTGATACTCACACTAAAACAAGATGATCTCAAAAAATGATCTCACTAATAGCGATATCTGACTGGTATGTAGCTGTCTGCTGGATGTTGCCGTCTTTCTAACTTCTATATGTTGCAGACACAGCAGACCTGCCTTTTATAACTCTGCCTCCAACTCCCACCCCTACCCCTGCAGGTATTTCTGATGAACCGTTGACAGGTATTTGGCTGCAGACACACTTTTACCTACACCCACGTTTACTGTTTACTACTCAGCAAAGTGCTAAATTGTGTGAGATTGCCAGATAAAGTCTACTTTCTACAATCAGTGCCAGTAAAGAAGAGCCTCCTGGCAGCAAAAACATTAACCCTAATCCTGACTCAACCTGAATCACCTGAACTCTAACACTAGCAGATGAATAAAATGCTATGGCGTCTGTCTTGAAATTTCTCTTTGCAACGGTCTTCTCGCAGTTTATTATTTCCTAATGTCATAGCAGGCTGCATAGCCTCCTGCAAACTCGCTCACCATTCTCAATACCTTCACCCTATCACTTCCTGTCAGACATTAAGTCCTGGAGAAGATCTAACTTTCTTCAACAGAATGTTGACAAAGCAGCTTTGCTCCCATCTTTTGAGTGCTCAAGTACTCTGAGATGCTACCCCATGGGAAGGGTACTATGTAAATGGATGAAGGAATAGACAGTTTTATTTCTAAATTTGCAGATGACACAAAGTTAGGAGGCACAGTAAGTTGCGTGGACAGGAACAGGAAGTTACAAAAGGTTTAGATAGATTAAGTGAGTGGGCGAAACTGTGGCAGATGGAATTCAATGTGGGGAAGTGTGAGGTCATCCTCTATGGATCAAAAATTTTTAAATGGTGAGATACTAAGAACTGTGGAAGAGCAAAGGGATTTGGGTGTTCATGTACACAAAGCACGAAGCACTAATTCACAAGTACAAAAATTAATCTAAAAGCTAATGGGATGTTGGCCTTTATCTCAATGGGGCTGAAATATAAAGGAGAAGAAATGATGTTTTAACTATACAGAGCCTTGGTCAGGTACCAATTGGAGGCCTACATTCAGTTTGGGCCTCACACCTCAAGAAGGATATATTGGCTCTGGGGGATTGGCGCAGATTCGCTAGAATGATACCAGGGCTTAAAGGGTTAAATTATGATAATAATAATAATAAATAATAATAATAATCCTTGCATTTGTTACAGTGCTTTTCACGTCTTCTCAATGTCTCAAAGCGCTTCACAGAATAGACTGTAAAGTGAATTGACCGTATATTTGTTGTGATAACAAGTTGCATAAACTTGGTCTGTAGTCCCTCCACTCTGGAAGGTTAAGGAGTGTAAAGGGTTTTGATAGGGTAGATACAGAGAAACTATTTCCTCTGTCGGTGAATCCAGAACAAGAGGCGTAATCTTAAAATTAGAGCCAGGCCATTTAGGGGTGAAATCAGGAAGCATTTTTTCATGCAAACCATAGTGGAAATCTAGACCTCTCTCCCCCAAAAAGCTGGATCACTGGGACTAGTTGTGCAGCTCTTTCAAAAAGCCGGCACAGGTATGATGGGCCAAATGGGCTCCTTCTATGCTGTTGGATTCTATGATACTATGAGTCATGCGTGCTAGCATTCAATCCATGCATTCATCATGTCTTGACACAATCTTTTGGCAACATCAATGTTCTGCTCACTGAACTCTCCACTCTTCTCGAAAAAAGCCTTTGCAGGAAAAAAAACCTATGAGCGGCGACTGGTATTGTTTCCACTGGGACAAAGCAAGTTGAGGAGAGACCTGATCGAGCTGTTTAAAATTATGAGGGATTTTAATAGAATCAACAGGGACATGTTATTTCCACTGGTCAGTGAGTCAGTAACTAGAGGGCATGAATGTAAGATAGTTAGTAACCAAGCAAATGGGGAGGTTCGGAGAATGCTCTCATGCACAGAGCGAGTAGGATATGGAATGTGCTGCTGCGAGCAGTGGTTGAGGCAGAATCCATATTGACCTTTCAAAGGGAACTGGACACATTGTTATAAAGAGTCACTACAGGGGTGTGGGGAAAGGGCAGGTAAATGGGACTGAAAGGGTTGCTCCTGAGCGAGCGGCACAGACTCAATGGGCTGAATGGCCTTCTTCTATGCCATGAATTTCTAGGGTTCTATGTGTCCTGGGATGGGATTAGAATAGAGAGCTCCAGTGCGGTAGCAAGCACCAGCACAAATACATAATAATAATAATCATTGCATTTTGATACAGCGCCTTATTGCATCTTCGAGATATCTCAACACGCTTGATAGAATATACTGTAAAGTGAATTGACTGTATATTTTGTGGGAAAAATATGGCAGCCAATTGCGCACAAGCAGTGGCCAACACACAATGGGAAAAGAGAAGTGACTTGGCCTCAAACACCTTTCCTGGTAACATGTGTAACCTATTGATTACCCTCTATGTAAAGAACAACTTCCAGTATCTGTCCTTAACCTGCTCTTCACACCTTTGAACCTGTAATTTCCTTATCCTGAAGCTCTACCTTATCTGAACGCATTATTCTTTGCACACACAGAAATAATCTCTTTTACTGAACCTTGTATTTAAGAGAGAACAAAGGTAGGTATTGCGACTGAAGGCAGTATTTGGCTTGATACAAGAGTCCAGATAGTCCAAAGGTTGGTACATAGTTTACAAAGATTACAAAGAATGTTCAGCACAGAAATAGGCCTCTCAGCCCAGCAGTCCGTGCCAGTGTTTATACTCCACACAAGTCAATGCGCACGGGTCAGAAGCAAATCATTAATACACAGCTTCAAACACTCACTGAAGATAAATAACAGCTTCTAATATTTCAGCTTTGTTCATAATTCAAGAATGTAAACTGCTGTGAGGGAGCTGAATCCCTGCAGCCTCTGTCCTCACTCACTGACCCAATCTTTACTGCCATCAATGCAAAATCACTAGATCTGTCATTTCCAGGTTTGGATCGTATATCACGGTATTGGGTAACACAGTTACACAATCTGATTCACACAATCTCTCTCCAGGTGCAGTAAACTGACACAAAAACAACAATTTCAATACCTTGCATTTATAGAGCACTCTTCACACAAAGTAGCCTTGATAATAATAATAATCCTTGCATTTGATATAGCGCTTTTCACGTCGGGAGGATGTCCCAAAGCGCTTCACAGAATATACTGTAAAGTGAATTGACTGTATATTTGTGGGCGAACACGGAAGCCAATTGCACAAAGCAGCGTCCCACAAAGAGTCGTGGATTGAAAATGACCAATTTAGTATTGTTTTTTGGGGTTTTGGAGGGATTTTTATTAGGCGTGTGGAGTAAGGAAACTTGCCCAAGGTTTCGCCCTCTGCCTGGAATTGAACTCAGGTCTCTCACTTGCAAAGCGAACGCTCTAACCACTGAGCTACAGGACTCCATGCGCTTAACAATGTCAGAGTCTGACTCCAAGCCAGAGAAAAAGGAGGTTAGAGTAGGCACAGTCGAAGAGGAGAGACTTTGGGTGTGATTTGAAGACAGGCATAGTGGGGCCAAGGTGGAGTATTGAGGCAGGGAGTTCCAGAGTTTCAGGGAATAGTGGCTGACCTCAGATACCGATGGTGAAAGAGGAGACGAGGGATGTGTAGAAGACCCAAGCCAGCTGAGTGAAGGGACGAGTAGAGGAATAGTGTATGAACAGGTTAGAGAGATAGGAGGTGCTAGAATATCAAATGATTTGTAAGTGAGTGTGAGATCTTGAAATCAGTCCATTCTGTGTCAGGGAGCAACAGGTCCCTGTTGCAAGGACGAGGGTGATGGAATTGAGTCATGTGCTGAAATTACCCACGGGAACCCATTCTGCTCAGTTACTGCCTCATTAGATTAGGAAATTATTGTGGTTATGTGTAGGAGACACTGGCCTTTTGTGTTGATAATTGGAGGACTACTCCAAATTATGTGTGTGCCAGCCTGGCTCAGTTGGTAGTATTCTCCCCTCTGAATCAGAAGGTTGGAGGATCGAGCCCCATTCAAGATTAGGAGCTCATACTCTAAGCTGATGCTCCAATGAGGGGCTGGGTGTGATCTGAATATCCTCAGAAGCCTGAGGGAATTCCTTTTGATGTGAAAGGTACTATATCAAATACAGATTATTACTCATCTTGTCTGAGTTTTCATTTAGTGTCTGAATGTTCGGGGTTCAAGCCCACATTGGCATTTGAGCTCAAAGATTAAGCTGCAGTACTGAGGGAGCATTGCATTATTAATGCTGGAAGTGCCATGCTTTGGATAAAATATCTGTCTGTTCAGATGGATGTTTAAGATCCCATGGCACTGTTCAGAAAATAGAAGTGAGATTCTCCTGGTATCCTGGCTAACAATCTCCAAGATAAAATTGGTTATTTACTTCATGGTTGTGATTCAGACACAAATTGACTGCCACAGTTTACTACGTGCACTTAAAAGCAGAAACATAGGAACAGGAGAAGGCCATTCAGCCCCTCAAGCCTGTTCTGCCATTCTATTAGATCATGGCTGATCTGTACCTCAACTCCAATTACCCACTTTTGTCCCATATCCTTCGACACCCTGACCTAACAAATATCCATTACTTCAGTCTTGAAAATTTGAATAGATCCAGCATGCACAGCCTTTTGGAGGAGAGGGTTCCAGATTTCCATTACCTTTGGGTGAAAAACTGCCGCCAATCGGAGAACATTCCCTTTATCCCTATTCTGTTTCCTGCCTCTAAACTGCTAAATGGCCAAGCTCTAATTTTAAGATTATGCTCTTTGTTCTGGATTCCGCCACCAGAAGAAATAGTTTCTCTGTAGCTACCCTATCAAATCCCTTTACATTTTAAACACCTTCTAAACTGAAGAGAATACAGACCAAGTTTATGCCACCTGTCCTCATAATTTAACTCTTTAAGCCCTGGTATCATTCTGATGAAACTGTGTTGCACCCCCTCCAGAGCCAATATATCCTTCCAGAGGCGTGGTGCCCAAACCTGATGCAGTCCTTCGGATGGGGTCTGACCAGTTCTATACAGTTGAAGGATCATTTCCTCTCGTTTATGTTTCAGCCCCATTGAGATAAAGGCCAACATCCCATT